AGGAAGCCTGGCAAATTGGGTTCTGTGGTTATTTCTCCTGATCTATTCCACACGAAGAGGCACAAAGGGAGACCATCAGGGTGTGTCTTGTGAAATCCAAGGTCTTAGTCTGCTTGGTACTTGACCTCATTCACATTCAATTCCCACCCGCCCCTAAAATGTTTAATGCACTTGGCCCTTGGGGCCAGCACTTGCCTTTGACCTGCCTTGCTGGCCCCTCCTTACCACTCTGTCTCCTCTCACTGCTGGGTGTCGGCATACCCTTGTGACAGCGCTTAGGTCTCTTCAGGACCTCTGTTCCCTGGATCAGGGCTTCTCAGCAGATGTTAGTGGCATTTTGAGTGAAATAATTTTTCCTTGTGTAGGCCCTGTTCATGGCAGGATGTGGGTTCATTATACGGTTGATGGATATATTAGCCCATTCTTATACTGCTATAAAGATACTACCTGAGACTGGGCAATTATAAAGGAAAGAGGTTTAGTTGACTCACAGTTCTGCATAACTGGGGGGCCTCAGGAAATTTATAATTATGGCAGAAGGGGAAACAGACCTCTTCTCAAGGGGATAGGAGAGAGAAGAGCAGGAGAAGAGAAGAGCAAACCAAGGAAGAACTTGCCATACACTTACAGAACCATCAGTTCTCCTGAGAACTCGCTATCATGAGAACAGCATGAGGGAAACTGCCCCCACGGTCCAGTCACCTCCTACTAGGTTCCTCCCTCAACACTTTGGGGATTATAATTCAAGGTGAGATTTGGGTAGGGACACAAAGCCAAACCATATCATTTCTCCCCCAATCCCTCCCAAATCTCATGTTCGTTTCAAAACCATTCCATTCCATTTCAAAACAAATCTTGCCTTCCCAGCAAGGCCCCCAAGTCTTAACTCATTTCATCATTAACTCAAAAGTCCAAGTCCAAAGTCTCATCTGCAACAAGGTAAGTCCTTTCCATCTAGTAGCCTGTAAAATCAAAAGCAAGTTAGTTACTTTCAAGATACAATGGAAATACAGGCATTGGATAAATACTCCCATTTCCAATGGAAGAAATTGGCCAAAACAAAGGACTGCAGACCCCCATGCAAGTCCAAAATCCAGTTGGGCAGTCATTAAATCTTAAAGCTCAAAATGATCTCCTTTGTGACCCCATGTCTCACATCCAGGGCACACTGATGCAAGGAGGAGTGGCTTTCGTGACCTTGGGCACCTCCGCCCCTGTGGCTTTGTAGGGGACAGCCCTCCCGCACCCACCCCCTTCGGCTACTTTCATGGTGGGCATTGAGTGTCTTCGGCTTTTCCAGGTGCACAGTGCAAAGCTCTTGGTGGATCTGCTGTTCTGGGGTCCGGAGGATGGCTGTCCTCTTCCCACAGCTTCACTGGACAGTGCCCCAGTGGGGACTCTGGGAGTTCCAACCCCACATTTCCCTTCCTCAATGCCCTAGCAGAGGTTCTCCATGAGGGCCCTGCCCCTGCAGCAGATTTCTGTTCTGGACATCCAGGCGTTTCCATACATCCTCTGAAATGTAGGTGAAGGTTCTCAAACGTCAGTTATTGAATTCTTTGCACCCACAGGCCCAACACCACGTGGAAGCTGCCAAGGCTTGGGGTTTGCACCCTATGAAGCAATAGCCTGAGCTGTACCTTGGCCCCTTTTAGCCATGGCTGGAGCTGGAAAAGCTGGGACACAGGGCATCAAGTACCAAGGCTGCACAGAGTAGCGGCGGGGCTGGGCCTGGCCCACAAAACCATTTTTCCCTCCTAGGCCTCCCTGCATGTGATGGGAGGGGCTGCTGCCAAGATCTCTGACATGCTCTGGAGACATTTTCCCAATTGTCTTGGCGATTAATATTTGGCTCCTTCTTATGTGCATTTCTGCAGCTGCCTTGAATTTCTCTCCAGAAATTGGGTGTTTCTTTTTTATTGCATCGTCATGCTGCAAAGTTTTCAAACTTTTACTTCCTGCTTTCCTTTTATTTTATTTTTTATTTTATTTATTTTTTTTTGAGACGGAGTCTCGCTGTGTCGCCCAGGCTGGAGTGCAGTGGCCGGATCTCAGCTCACTGCAAGCTCCGCCTCCCGGGTTCACGCCATTCTCCTGCCTCAGCCTCTCCCGAGTAGCTGGGACTACAGGCGCCGCCACCACGCCTGGCTAGTTTTTTGTATTTTTAGTAGAGACGGGGTTTCATCATGTTAGCCAGGATGGTCTCGATCTCCTGACCTCGTGATCCGCCCGTCTCGTCCTCCCAAAGTGCTGGGATTACAGGCTTGAGCCACCGCGCCCGGCCCTGCTTTCCTTTTAAACACAAGTTCCAATTTCAGATCATCTCAAGTTCAGAGTTCCACAGATCTCTAGGGCAGGGGCAAAATCTCACCATTCTCTTTGTTAAAACATAGGAAGAGTGACTTTTGCTCCAGTTCCCAAGAAGTTCCTCATCTCTTTTTCAGACCACCTCAGCCTGGGCTTCGTTGTCCATGTCACTATTAGCATTTTGGTCAAAAGCATTCAGCAAGTCTCTAGGAAGTTCCAGACTTTCCCACATCTTCCTTCTTCTAAGCCCTCCAAACTGTTCCAGCCTCTGCCTGCTACCCAGTTCCGAAGTTGCTTCCACATTTTCAGGTTGTCTTTATAGCAGCACCCTGGTACCAATTTACTGTATTCGTCTGTTTTCACACTGCTGTAAGAACTTCCCTGAGACTGGGTCATTTATAAAGGAAAGAGGTTTAATTGACTCACAGTTCCACATGGCTAGGGAGTCCTCAGGAAACTTAGAGTCATGACAGAAGCCGAAGGGGAAGCAAGCACCTTCTTCACAAGGTGGCAAGAGAGAGAGAAGAGTGAAGGAGGTACTTTCGAACACTTACAAAACCACTAGAGATCATGAGAACAGCATGGAGGAAATTGCCCCCATGATCCAGTCAACTCCCACCAGGTTCCTCCCTCAGCACCTTGAGATTACAATTCAAGATGAGATTTGGGTGGGGACACAAAGCCAAACCATATCAATGGACTTTTGGGTTGTTTCCAGTTTGGGGCTATTACGAACATTCACACACAAGTCTATGGCAACATAAGACCCAGTAGAATTGCTGGGTCTTAGGGTCAATATATAGTTAATTTTAGTAGAAATGGTCAAACTTCTTTCCCAAAGGGTAACCAGACCATTTTGCATTCCCATCAGTGATACACGAGAGATCTACTTGCTAAACTTGCCAGCAGTTAAAGTCTTTAATTTTGGTCATTCTGTTGTGAATAAAGGTATGGATAATGCTGAAGCTATTGAGCTATATTTTATTGTGGTTTTAATTTGCATTACTCTTATGATTCACAATGTTGAGCATTTTCTCATATGCTTATTTGTCATCTGTTTTAGTCAGTTCAGGCTGCTGTAAAAAAAAAAAACCAAAGACCAGGGAGCTTAAATGACAAACATTTATTGCTCCCAATTCTGGAGGCTGGCAAGTCTGGTAAGGGCTGTCTTCCTGGTTTGCAGATGACTGTCTTATCCTTGCGCCCTTACATGGCCAAGAGGCAAATCTCTCTTATTTCTTCTTATAAAGGCACTAACTCCATTCATGAGAGTTCTGCCCTCCTGACCTAATCTCCTCCCAAAGGCCCCACCTCCCAATACCACATACATTAGGATTCAGCATAGGAATTTTGGGGAGACAAAAGCGTTTGGACCACAGCACTATCCATGTTGACTCTGGCAGTGGCTCTGTTCAACTCTGCCTCCTTTTTTCTTCTTACCTATTTTGATTTTTATATGTGGTGTGAGATGGGGAAAGTTTGATTTTTTTTTTTTGTCTTAGAGATGAGCATCATTCATGGAAAAGACTGCCCTTTGCCTCTGGGCCGTAGCTCTGTGTTCCCTCGAGTCAGGGTCTGTGTTGGCACAGGTATGCTTCTGGGCTCTCTCTTCTGCCCCATGGTTCAATTTAACTTCGAGCCAGTGCTACATTGCCTGAATTTCCATAGCTCTGTAAGGAAGGCTTGGTAACTCATAGACGAAGCTTTCTGTTTCTTCTTTTTAAAGATAGTGTCTTGGCTATTCTTGTTTGCATTTTTATATAGCTTTTAGACATATATACACACACACACACACGTATATACCTCATATTCAGCAACTGTGCCAAACTCACTTTTACTAATTGTCTTTAGACTTTTTGGGGCTTTCCTGTGTATATGGACATAGCATCTGTGAATAATGAGTTTTATTTCTTTTTCAGTCCTTATACCTAATATTTATTTGGCAAGGATTTATTAATTTTCTGTCTCTTCAGAGAACCACTTTTTGGTTTCATTGATTTATTTTTTTCCTGTATGTTTGCTTACTGTTTTATTAATTTCCCCGGTACTCTGCCCACTGCACTCCAGCCTGGGCAACCAGAGTGAGACCCTGTGTCAAAACTAAACAACAAAGTAACCAGAGGAAACAGTTTGGAAAGACACTGTACCTCTTATGTTTGCTTTTGCATTAGTAAACATAAAAAGAAAAATGAAAGTCTGTATTTTGTTGGTACAAAGAACTGTTTGGGCCGGTGTGCTGGCTCACGCCTGTAATCCCAGCACTTTGGGAGACCGAGTGAGGAGATCTAGACCATCCTGGCTAACATGGTGAAACCCCGTCTTTACTAAAAATACAAAAAATTAACTGGGTGTGGTGGCGGGTGCCTGTAGTCCCAGCTACTCAGGAGGCTGAGGCAGGAGAATGGTGTGAACCCAGGAGGCGGAGCTTGCAGTGAGCCGAGATCACGCCACTGCACTTCCCTGGCGACAGAGTAAGTGAGACTTTGTCTCAAAAAAAAAAAAAAAAAAAGACTGTTTGGTCTTTATCAGAACCGTTATTGTACTAGGTATTCACTTTGGGCAAACAGAATTTTCACTTGTTAATATGCATATTCTGTGGTTTATAGGCTTATATATTTTGTAAAGGTGTTTTGTTAAAATGACAATGTAACATTTATTCTGTTTGGTAATGGTTTTACTTATTAATTTTATAGAATTAACACTGAATCCTCCAGAAGGAATTGTAGCAGGTAAGGTACCAAAGTTAACTTCCTTATAATTTACTTTTAATTGCCAAAGTTCCTTCAAAGTTAAAATGTTGTGAAATTTTTTCTCACCCTACAGGCCCCATGAATGAAGAGAATTTTTTTGAATGGGAGGCATTGATCATGTAAGTTAATCTTATGTGTACTAGTTTTTAGGTCTTTGCTGGAAGTCAGATGTAAGATTCACATCAGCAGTGTGACTGTGCCCAAAAGCGTCACCTGGAAAAAAGACTGAGTTCTCCAGTAATGCCCAGCTCTTCTCTAGGCTGCTGGTCTGAAAGCAGAGAAGAACCTGAGCGTTGATCCAAAAGAAATGAGTGTTTCCCTAGAGCCAATCAAAGGTTTAGTTATAAGCATGTAATATATGTATTATATATTTGAGAATTTTAAGGTGGTAATTTTGGAATGTTGTATGATCGTGGTTAAATTAACCTCAAGTGGTGTAGGTGGCTTTGGCTTCCAGAAGTGGTCCCTACAGGTCTGAAATTTTGAGGAGAAAAGGGTCCTCGAAGGTGTGTCTGATCACAACAGGCATGTTAGTGCAGCCTTTCCTGCCCTGCCTTTGGGCCAGGACTTCTTTTTCTTCTCCTTTCCTCCCAGTTTGTATCTTCCTGTGCTGCTTCTCCTTTTTTCTGTTGCCTCGTCTGGGTTTGTTGGCTTTGTATTCTGTCTGACCCAAGTAAGTGAGCAGCATGGTTCTGGGATTCATGGCATTTAACTTAGGGTGACGTTGCTTGGAAAGAGAAACACATGAACCCCTGATTTTAGAGTGTTCTATGGCCCTGACTCACTTTGCTTTTTCTTCTTTCTACCTTAGATGTGCAATTTTTGGCCATTCTTAGTATATTTTCAGCAAAGTGAGGTTAAGTAAAATTTAGGAAGCTGAAATTTGTAATCAGTCTCTGTTTTCTTTCTTTTCTTTTTCTTTTTTTTTTTTTTTTGAGATGGAATTTCACTCTTGGTGCCCAGGCTGGAGTGCAGTGACGTGACCTCAGCTCACTGCAACCTCTGCCCCCTGGGTTAAAACGATTATCCTGCCTCAGCCTCCCTAGTAGCTGGGATTACAGGTACCCACCACCATGGCTGGCTAATTTTTGTATTTTTAGTAGAGACAGAGATTCCCCATGTTGGCCAAGCTGGTCTCGAACTCCTGACCTCAGGTGATCCCCCTGCCTTGGCCTCCCACCGTGCTGGGATAACAGGTTTGAGCCACAGCGCCAAGCCCAGTCTTTGTTTTCTCATTAGTGAGGTCTTTTAATTTGCAGAAAGGCCTCGGGTTAGAGATTGTTGCATTGAGAAGTGCTCTAGAGGGCAAGGACCAGAAAGTGAGGGCTGTGAAACAGGTGTGAGCTCTGGCTTGATGTGACCTTAAACTTCCTTATGCTTTTGGAATTTGCCAGTTGCTTGGATCACATTAATTCTTAATGCTCTATAGGTTAGTCTGAGAAACAAATCACAGCTAAGTATTGTCTGTGGAGGTTAAATTGATATGAAAATTAGTTTTTTGGATAAACAAAATGTTTTTAAAAAATCATCAAACATTATTCAGATGGTACGGCAGGCCTGCCATTTCCTGATCATTTGTAACATCCTAATTGCTTGGGCCTATGGGCATGTGTTTTTTCTGTGTCTGAAGGTTTCTGGAATCTGTGTTTATGTGTAATGTGGCCCCCAAGGCAGTTATGAGATGAATGGCGAGTCCCCCAGTCTGCACTGTCCTCATTAGTGAGCTGTGGGGCTGTGTACTTGTATCAGGGCAGCTCTTTTTATTTCTGTAGAAGCAGGAGGTCATATACATGAACTGATGTGTAACCTGCTTGTTTCATGTGTTAACGCAGGCGCACCTGCACTCACGTCAGCGGGGCAGCGTGCCTGCTGCAGGGGCACAGAGTAGCGGGAGGCCTGTCTTTGTGTAGAGGTTGAAGACGCCTGTCGGGTCTGCAGTATTTGGGGGATGTTGGCTCCTCAGTACGCCTATTTGGAAGCTCATTAAAGGAACAGTTGAGCCTTCCAGTGTGGTTTTAAAAAAATGTTCATTGTTAAAAATCTATTAGGGTAACTATTACCAATTTTAAATAAACAGTATAAAATTAAACCAATATTTTGAAAACCTGTCTTAAAAAGTAATTAGAACTATTTTTAGGTAGAGCACTTTTGTGTTTGAACAAGGCTTTTTGCATTAGTGTGGAATTCCCCTGCTTGAAGATCCTGGTGAGTTTGTGGGTTTTGGTCCTGTTCCAGACCCTTCACAAACAAGAGGCCGTTTACAAGTGCACTTAAAACGCCTATTAGGGAATTAACTGTCCTCCCATCGGTTTGTCTCACCCTGCTGTTTTGGCAGACATCTGGCTGAGTCTTTACTCCTTGGTGATAGGTTTCTTCTTTTTCTCTTTATTCTTTGATGGCTTCCAGGGCTGCCTTTCTACCCTAGTATTTCTGAAACCTGGGGTTGCCTCACGGAAGTCTCGTGGCTGTTGGTTTTTGCTGTTGTGCTTGCCTTAAGGGCCAGTGAAGAAAATGTCATTTTAGGTATCTAAGCAACAAATACTAAGTGCCTTTTATATATTAGGGCCCTTGTCTGAGGATACAGACATGTCAAAGATGCACTGAAATCTTTACCTTGGAAGATCAGGGTTGAGGGATTAGGATAGAGAATAGAACAGATTAGTGAATGAGAGGACTAAATAATGAGAGTCCTCAGGCTGCGTCTTTAAACACCGGAAATAACTCTGCTGACCCTGCTGAGCTCATGATGGGGTCTGAGCCTGCAGTCAAATCAAGTGTGGCTGGGACGGCGGCACACCAGGGGATGTGGCCACCGTGGCTGTGGTTGCTAGCATGGCCTGCTGCTCTTGGCCCAGTCACTTTGCCTCTCTTTCACTTATTTGGATCAAAACAGAGAGGTACATCAGCATCTTCTAGATAGATGGTTACAGGTCTTGCCCAGCTCTAGGGTCCGTGGCCTGTGACCCCATTGCCACTAAGCCATGGTGACAGGGGTGCAGCTGCAGAGAGGGTGGGTGCCCTCTTTCACTGATGCACTTCTGTAGGATGGAAGGAGCCCTAGACAGCTGTTCAACCCCAGTGGCCGGACAAACCATGGAGTCCCTTGGCCGTTGCTGTCTGCTGTGTCCTGCCCCAGCATTCCCAGATCAGCTGGCATAGTGACCTTCCTGATGGTTCGTGCCTGACTGCTGTCACCTCCCCAGACCAGTGGTTCTAGAGGCTGTGGTGAAATAAGGACCTTCCTTTACTGAATGGTGTGTTTGGGGCCCAGCTGGTGGATGGATGCTCCCAGGTTCTCCAGCTGGCTCACGGCAGCCAGCTTGAGGGTTCCCAGGCTGCCACTTCTACCCGGAGCCCTTCTCACACTGGGGGCAAGTGTCGGGGGCACAGCAGCCTCCCTTTATGTCCAGATTTCTTGTTGACTGAAGACTGTCACAGAGCATCTCTTGGCAGTATTATGCCTTGCTAAAATAGACCCGATATAATAAAATAGGTGTTTATAATTTGTATTGTATGTAATCTCACCATAGCAGTTTCTTCAACAAAAGTGTTACAAAGTTCCCTATATGAAGAAGTTATTGCCACATTCATTGCTTTAATAAAAAAGGAAACATCACTCCTCCACATAATTTATGGAGCATCTATATAGAGTAATGCCATGTAGCGCTAAAACAGTTCAGGTGGAATTTTCATCCTGGCATGGAAAGATGTACACAATATAGAAGATAAAGGCAGATTCTAGAATAATAGGTCTGGAACCGTCTGTCCATCCTTCCTTCCTCTCGTCTCCTCTCTCCCTTCCTTTCTCTCTTCCTTTGTCCTCTCCTTTTTCCCTCCCCACCTCTCCCTTTCTTATGGAAACATGGTCTAGCTCTGTCACCCACGCTGAAGTGCAGTGGCCTAATCACAACTCACTGCAGCCTCCAATTCCCAGGCTCAAACAATCCTCCCACCTCAGCCTCCCAAGTAGCTGGGACCACAGGCGCACACCACCACGCCCCGCTGGTTTTTAAAATGCTTTGGTCTTGCTCTCTTTTCCAGGCTGGTCTCGAACTCCTGTCTTCAAACGATCCTTCTGCCTTAGCCTCCCAAAGTGCTGGGATTACAGGCAGGAGCCAAGGCACCCAGCCTGAACAGCTTTATTGAGATAATTTACATACTGTACGTTTTACCTGCATTAAGTATAGAAGTCAGTGGTTTTAGTAAATTTCTAGAGTTTTGCAGTCATCACCACAATCCAGTTTTAGAATATTTCCAAAAAGATGCTTAAGCCTATTTGCGGTCAGTTCCCATTCCAACCTACAGGCAATCCCTACTCTTTCCTCTGACTATAGATTTGCCTTTTCTGACTTTTCCTATACGTGGAATTCACTGTCTAATCATCTGTGCCTGGCTTCTTTTACTTGGCAGAACATGTTTGCGATTCATCCACGTTATACTGCATATCAGCAGCTCCTTCCTTTTCCATTCCCCAGTTGATGGACATTTGGGCTTCCTACTTCTTGGCTCTTTTGAGCAAATGCTGCTGTAAATACTTGTCATGTCACACTGTCTGTGTGGACATGGGGTTCATTTCTCTAGACTAGATATAGAGGTCTGGAATTGCTGGGGTATGGAGTAAATTTGCATTTAATGTTTTAAGAAGCTATCAGACTGTCTTCTAGAGTAGCTCACCATTTTGCATTCCCACTAGCAGTGTATGAGTGTTCTAGTTTCTCCACTTCCACACCAACACTGTTGTCTGATAATAGCTGTTGTGGTGGGTGTAAAGTGCGGTCTCCGTACAGATTTGACTTGGATTTCCTTGACGACTAATGATGTTGAGCATCTCTTAATGGGCTTATTGGCCATTCATGTATCTTCTTTGGTGAACTTCAGAACTTTTCCCCATTTTTATATTGGGTTGTTTTCTTGTTGGTGGGACATAAGAGTTTTTTAAATATATTTTGATACAAGTCCTTCATTAGACATAGGATTTTAAAATATTTTCTTCCAATCTGCAACTCTCCATTTTGTTTTCTTAATATGAGTCTTTTGAAACTAAAAAGTTGTTAATTTTGATGAAGTGCGATTTTGCATTTTTTTCTTACATGGAGCATGCTTTTGGTGTTGTATATAACCCAAGGTTACAAAGATTTTCTCTTATGTTTTCTTGTAGAAGTTTTGTGTTTTATCACTTTTACATTTAGGCCTTTGATCTATTTTGAGTTAGTTTCATGTGAGTTAGGTGGGAGTCTGTTTCATTCTTTTGTATGTGGTTATCCAGTTGTCTCAGCACCATTTTTGAAAAGACAGTTCTTTCCCCATTGATTAATTTCCCCATTGATTAATGTATTTGCATCCTCCTTGTTCTTGTTGTTTCTTTTGAAGATTCCCAGGTGAGGCCATCTTTGGTGAAAGAGAAGTGAGGTTGTCTGGGAGTATGGCAATAAAAGTTGTCCAAAAACAGCACTGTGGCGTCTCCCACTCCTGGCTTAGGAGTTGCCTGGAAGGCATGTTCCATAGGGTCAGGCATGCTGCTGCACACCACTGCCCACCTGCCCTCCTGTCTGGGCGCCAGGCATTCTAGAAAAGAGAAAGAAACCCCAGTTTCAAACCAGCAGTAAACCGGAGCATTTGCAAAGAACTTTGATATTTAAGATGTGGGCGCACTTCAGGAAATGTTTGGTCATGCTTCTGAGGCTAGGAACGACCTGGTAGGTTAAAAAAATTTTTTTTGAAAGAAAGCCCTATTGTGAGAAACAAAGATCTGTTATCAAAGTATTGAGCAAATACCATTTGGCTCATTCCAAAAACACTACCCAGACATTTTTTCTTATTCTAGACTCAGAGGTGCCAGAAATATTGAGTGCTGGCAAGCGTTCCTGACATATGAACAGTGTTACTTTTAAAGATAGTATCTTTATGTACCTGATTTCTGATTTCACAGTTTGAACTGCGTTCTCTTAACTCTAATACTAAGTTGATCTAGGACCTTGACTAAGTCATTTCATCCTTGAATTTTCCAGCCTTGCTTGACAGTAAAATGAAAACCACAATCCTTGGTGCTGTTTCATCAGAATGCATGTGGAGAGTGAATGGGTGGCGGTTATCGTTTGCACTGAGCTCTTGTACTGGACAGGAGGCTCGGGGTGGCCACGCGTCACTCTGATAAGTGGTGTGTGCCCACCCTGTGTTGAGAAGTTGGGGCTTCAGGAACGTGTTTGTTCAGGCCATTGCAGGGGGAGCAGAGTAACCCAGGCTTGAGGCATCCCCAAGCTACTGGGTGCTGGGGGCCAGTGCAGGGCCGGGGGTACTCATCCGGGCACTGCCCTCTCCAGCATAGCTGTTGTACCAGTAGCAGGACCTTGTGCTCATGCCTCCCTCGGTGGTGTTCCCTGTGCTGGTCATGCTGAGGCTCTGGGGACTGTCACTCAGTAACCCGCTCCCCAAAACAAAGTGGCCATATTCACTCTCTTCCCAAAAGGTAGCAAAGACAGTTTTCAGAATCAAAATTTGTCTTTTAGATTGAAAAATCTTGTCTCCATGAAGCAATCACTGCCTTGTTCTCTTCTGACTGTTGCCCGCAGATCAGCCCCGTCAGGGCCATGAGCCGTTTGATCAGCCCCGTCAGGGCCATGAGCCGTTCGATCAGCCCCGTCAGGGCCATGAGCCGTTCGGCATCTGCTGTTGCTGCCGACAGCCCTGAGTGCTGCCTCCAGGTGAAAGCTAAAGCTCTTTGTTCAGTTTCTTTTTGATTTTTGTCTTTTTCTTTTAATTGTAGAGATAAATATTTCCAAATCTGTTGTTATTAATTTCACTGAACCAAGATAATTTTAAGATTTTTAAAACAAATTTTTACTTTTAATAAATCTATTTTTTAACTAAAGATTTAAAATGTATTTTTTAAAAATTATTTTTTTCCTGTGCCATATCCTGGATTCTTTCTGAAGGCAGTAGGTCTTGTGTGGACTGTCCTCTGCTCATCCAGGCCTTGGCCCCCGCGCAGCTGTTCTTTCTGCCTTAGCCGTTATTGTTAGAGGAGCAGAGCTGTTTATGAAGGGACTTGTTCTTTCAGTTCATAGAAGTAAAACGGATTTACTGACTTGTTTATTGATCTGATGAGTCACACACAATGCAATTTCCACTGTTTCAGTGTCTGTCACTGTCATTCAACAGTCCTGCTTTTTTATCAAAGAAAGATGGTGCAAGATCTTTTAGAACTCCTTGAATGTGTTTTATTAATGTGGTTTGCCGGAGGGGAGGAGTTCATCCCTGGCGTAAAGGTACAGGCATGGTGGCTATCACTTTCCTCTCCTGTGGCCATCATGCCTTGAACTGTTGGTTAAGATAGTGTTAATTTATACTTGTTGGGTTTTAAACCTTAAGCAGGATTTCTGAAATGGTTTCATCTATTTCTTCCATTTACTTGTGAGGAAAGTATAGGTCCAGGGAGACTCACATGCCTGTGTCTGTGCCCGTGACGGGGAGTTGTTCTAGTGTTGCATCAGTGGGATGACGCATGACACGTGGTCCTGCAGTTGCGGCCTGGAGTGGTGGTACCTGTGTGCCTAGCCTTTCACCTAGCATGCAGCAGTGATCCCATGTGCTCTTCATCTGCTTCTTGAAGGTTGCAAAGATGCCTTCTTGGGCACGTTTAAAAATTAAAAATCACCTTTAAAATACAACTCTTAGCCCCTCATCTGTTGAAATACAATGGAATCTTGCTATATCCTTTGCCGTAATTCATACCCTTATCCTAAAATGTGATTGTACCACATCTGCAGAAAAAGCTCCCAGATCTTAGAGCATTGACATGAGTTATTTTCTCTGATCCCCTAATTATCAAGAGGTTTTGCTGCTCAACTCTTAACCGTTATAAATGTGAAAACTGCCTGTAACTCAGTCTTTGTACTTGTACTTAAGATTTAGACCAGATTGAAATAGGAGAATGAGACATTGCTTTCAATTGAGGAAAAAAGTACCAATTCATTGTCATTTAGATAATCTTTTCAAGTGCATTTTTATTATTATTATTTATTTTTATTTTTGTTTATTTTTTGAGACAGAGTCTCGCTCTGTCACCCAGGCTTGAGTGCAGTGGTGCAGTCTTGGCTCACCACCTCCCGGGCTCAGACGATTCTCCTGCCTCAGCCTCCCTAGTAGCTGGGATTACAGGCATTCGCCACCACACCCAGCTAATTTTTGTATTTTTAGTAGAGATGGGTTTCACCATGTTGGCCAGGCTGGTCTCGAACTCCTGACCTCAGATGATCTGCCTGCCTCGGCCTCCCAAAGTGCTGGAATTACAGGCATGAGCCACCGCGCCCGGCCTCATGTGCATTTTTGAAGTGGTAAAAATGTTCTTAACCCATTTCTCAGTTGTGGTCGATGTTGAAAAATGTACTTTGAAGTTCAGTCTACATATTTGATATCTTCTAGGGGCCCAGAAGACACCTGCTTTGAGTTTGGCGTTTTTCCTGCCATCCTGAGTTTCCCACTTGATTACCCGTTAAGTCCCCCAAAGATGAGATTTACCTGTGAGATGTTTCATCCCAACAGTAAGTGCTTTTGGAAGTAGTTTTTGTGGTACCAGGATAGGTGCAGAGATAATCTTATCAACCACTTGAAATGTGGTATATTCTATGTGTCTATGATGTAGATCTTTAGAAAACACTTCTTAGGTTTTGAAATTCAGCCAGGTAAGCATGGTGGTATTAAACACACGATTTCAATTTTGAAGGTCAGTTTAATGTAGATAAAAGAAAACTGGATGCCATTTGACCAGCCACCCTACTTCACTGGGGAGGAAGTTTTACGTGTGGGTGTGTGCTCAGAAGGGGTTATGCTAATCTTTGTCATAGTGTTATTTTTAATTGTGAAAATTTTGACTTAACCTGGGTTTTTAACACAAGAATAAATTAAGTTATATGTTGTATTAGTCTGTTCTCACGCTGTTAATAAAGACATATTCAAGACTGGGTAATTTATAAAGGAAAGAGATTTAATGGACTCAGAGTTACACATGTCTGGGGAGACCTCACAATCATGGCAGAAGGCAAAGGAGAAGCAAAGGCACATCTTAGTGGTGGCAGGCAAGAGAGTGTGTGCAGGGAAACTGCTTTTTATAAAACCATCAGATCTCGTGAGACTTATGCACTATCACGAGAACAGCACGGGAAAGGTGTGCCTCCATGATTTAGTACCTCCCTCTGGGTCGCTCCCATGACATGTGGGAATTATGGGAGCTACAATTCAAGATGAGATTTGGGTGGGGACACAGCCAAACCATATCGTATATGTTAGAATGTGATGTAGATTTTTAAAATGATCTAAAATAAGAATCAATGAAACAAAATAATATTTGTGTTATATTGACTGGGAAAAGCAGTAGGACTGTTGTAATTTCCTCTTGAAAAATAAATTTACATGTAAATGTATATATAATTGGAAAAGTAAGCACAAAAATGTTAAGTGATTCGTTTTTCAGATTGAAATTATTTTTTCCTTTTTATAAATCTTTTTTTGCCCTAAAATTAATATACATTACTTTTACAAGGAGGAAAAAAATAAGGTCATTTAAGTGAATTGTACTGTAGCTATTTGAAAATGTGTCCAGTAGTAGGAATTGGAATTCCTGAACAACTGTAGTTTTTATTTCTTCCTTTTACATTTGGGGATTATACATAAGAGAATTAATAAGGAAATATGTTATATCTTCAATGATGTTATTTAGAATAATGTTTCTTATAGATGATTATTATTGCCGCTGATAATCACGATCTTAATAGCTATAGAGAAGAAAAGCAAATAAAGTATCCTATTTTGCAAAAATGAAATACTTATTTGAAACGAATTTCTTATTGTATACATATCAAAGAGCATGAGAGAATTTATAGAATTTTCTGAGCCTCTGACTTCTCTCTGGGGTTAAAATGGAATCCATTTGGTATACTTTCCCCTTGTCTGCACCTGTCTAGGCAGAGCCCCACTCGAACTCCTCTTTGCCATAGGGGTTTTCAGGACTGCCCCCCGACGCCCCCGCCACTTCCCTCGTGGAAATGCCCTCTGCTATTAGACTTGCTGTCCTAACCCTCATTAAGGACTTCTCATTTACTGCAGATATTGGTACGCATAGGTAGTGGGTGGCCGTCTGAGAAAGACCATTTGGTACTTCTTTTCTTGTCTCAGAGCTACTTCAGTCTTGTGTGCACAGGAGATGCTCAGAAGCCTGCCTTTCTTTCAGGGAGACTGGCCATGAGCCTGAGTTAAATGGTAACATGGAGGTTCATCATATGCTGTCTACTCAAGTGTGTTTTTGGAATTCTCCATAATAAAAAGTTAAAAAATAAAATTGATAGGTAAGAGTAATTGAAGTAGTCAGTTTCAAGTTGGTTAGCTGTAAAATGCAACTGTGAAGAGGATTGTAGGTAATTAAGATACTAAAATTGTATTGAGGATAAATATATTATTCAGAACAATACCTGTGATGTGGCATTAGTGACAAATATGACCAATAAACTGATTACATTATGTGACTATGTACTGCAGGTGGTCTGATTATTATTTTTAGTGTTCTAGTAATTATTTTTAATGCTCAGATAATACAGTGTTAAATTTTTGCCTTACTGTAATTGGATTATTTTGATTTTGTAAAAATTATCTTTGAGAACTGTAGGTCTATCAATATCATAAAAATTAGACAATCAATAAGTACTTTAAAAAAATCCAACACATTTACTACAAGTTGCTGGGATACAGTCGTGAGCAAATAACAGACCTTCAGCAGCATATAGTCCAAGGACAGGGGTGGACATTGATGGGAGAATCACAAACAAATGCAAAGTCACATCAGGAAGGTCCAGGCAGCACCTTGCAGAGGTGGTGGTTGGATGGACCATCTGTAGGGAGTGAAGCAGGAGTTACCTGAGTGATTCGGGGAGGAGGGGTCCTTCACATGTGCAAAGGCCCAGAGCAGGAAGTGAGGGAAGAGGAAGGAAGGGGCCGAACTACCTCAGGCCTTTTGGTCATTACTGAAGGTTTTGATGTTTTCTCCTGGGAGTGGCAGAACTCCATTGAAAGGTTCCAAGGGAGTAGCATGACCAGAGTGGTATCTGATGGCTCGCTCTGGGTACAGTGCGAAGGACAGATAGGAGGAAGCCAGGCAGGCCCTCAGCTGTAGCGGTCTAGGGTAGAGACACCGGCGGCTTGGGAACCAAATGTGGGCACTAAAGATGAAGAGATGTGGGTGGATCCACGAGAGTTTTAGGATGTGGCACTGCTGGGACTTGGTGAAGGGGAAGGGCTGTGGCAGGGACACAGGTGCTTTTGGTGCTTCTGGGGGTGCACAGTGTCACCTATGGGACCCCCACCTGGAGAAGGCGACGCAGAAGTGGGAAACTTCCAAATTTTGTGGATGTGGATCTTAGGTGGACAGCCTGATGTGCTGGGCAAATGTGCATCTAGTTTCTTCCACTGTCCTTGAATGAGAAGTTGTGGTTCGGTTCCTGGATAGTAGAGAGGATTTACCACTGAAACAATGGATGAGTGGAAGGAAACACATAGGACCAGGTATGAAAGACAAGACCGTTTGAAGGTAAATGATCACCATTAACATTCGCAAATTTTCGTGAAATTCAGAACTCATGAATTTAGGTGAGTTAAATAAAAGTATTTAAAAATTGCTATTTCTATTATAACTTTAATGGCTTTATAATTTTACAGTTGAGTCTATCTAGATGGATTGCTGGATGTCTGAGTATATACGGAGCCATCTGAGAATTCCTCCCAATTATATGTAAAAGAGGACTGATTACATGCTGTGAATTAAAAATGTATTTGTCTTCATCAGACCTTGCGTATCTTTTTAATGATGATATTTGGTGGAAAGGGATTTGATTTAGCCACATTGATCTCCATTCCAGGTAGTACTGGTGATAATTTACTTATTATTAGAGTAAGCTACCAAGAGAAATCCTGGTGTCTTTCTTTTTGTAGATATTTAAATAATTCCAGTTGCCTTTATCGTAGCCATGTGAACATATATTTTACACAGACCAGGTCAGGGATTTAATGGTAGAATTAGAAATACCTAAGAAACTAGCTCTGAAAAGTATTGTAAATAATCCTAATCACATTAGATATTTTGATAAAATATTTGCCAGATAACCTTTCATTTACTCTTTTTGTGTATAGTGCTTGAAAAAAGTTTATATGAAAGTGGATTAGATTATTACAGCTGATTAGAACTGGCCGGGTCAGCCTGGAGCCTGTCAGTGAGTGAGCTGGCCCCACCGGGATTCCTGCAGACATGAAGCGTGACACTCAGGGCCCCAGGCTATGCCCCAGCTGTGCAAACAGCTTGCTTGCTGTGTCTGTAATCCTTGTTCTCATTATCTGTGGAGCCTGCCCCAACGCGGTGACGCCTTGGGCACCATTCCTGGGCTCACCTGACTGCCTCTGACCCTTGCAGTCTACCCTGATGGGAGAGTCTGCATTTCCATCCTCCACGCGCCAGGCGACGACCCCATGGGCTACGAGAGCAGTGCAGAGCGGTGGAGTCCCGTGCAGAGCGTGGAGAAGATCCTGCTGTCGGTAGTGAGCATGCTGGCAGGTAAGGCCCGAGCCGCCTGGCAGGAGCTGCTGTGGAGACCCAGGCTGCAGGTGTTCTCCTGCCTTGGGTCATCTTGTTTTTATAATGAACTTTTACTCATTTGCAGTTAGTTTACACATGCTATTGCCGTTTAGTGTTATCTCCATATACTTGTCCAGTTGTAAGCATGCCTTCTAGTGCAGCCTGGTGTTGTATATTGTATTGTCGGCCATAATTAACTGGTCTCTGGTCCTTGAACCTCTTTTTCCCTCAGTAGGTGTTTATTGAGGACCGACTACATGCCACCCACTGGACTGGGGGTGTAAAGCTTTGTGTGACAAAGACCCCACCTCTGTGTTCTCATGGTTCTAGGGAACTGTCCAAGCCTACTAGCAGTTAGAGGCCAGCGGGATGCACCCTGAGATCAGATACATGCAGGGACTCTCGGGCCACTACCTGGTGGGGCTGTCTGGAGTATGTTTAGGACGTGTAGGTGTTGATGAGGTAGGAGGGAGGGAACGACATTTGGGGCAAAGGAAGCAGCCTGGGCTGAGGCCCAGAGGCAGGAGGCGGCTGACTTGGTGGGGGCACTGCCAGCTCATTTTGGCTGGAGCCAAGGCTGCAAGGAGAGGAGCCCCAGCAGACCCTGGGGATTGGAGTAGGGGTGTGACGTCCTGTGAGCTGTGCGTTCGAAGGGCCATCCTTGTAGCAGTTACTAATAGTGTGATGGAAGACAGACAGAGACTTCGTGGTGTTGCAGTAGCCTGGAGAGAAAAGAGAAGGGCTGAGTGGTCCCAGGGCTAAGAGGAAGGGGTGGTTTTGGGAGACCTTAAAGGTACGGGCTCTGGGACTCCTGGTTCTTTGTGTGCCAGAGGTGCTGCTCTGGGTCTCGGAGACAGCAGGATTTGGGGAACTGTTTGAGGTGTGTAGGACAAGGGGCCTCCATCCACAAAAGGGGGTCAGACATGGGAGTGAAGATGTGGGGTCATTTCTGGATGAGGCAGTAGGTGATGGAGTAGGACGGAGGGTGACAGCAGGGCAGGCAGGAGGAAGGGTGTGGGAGAGGAAGGTGGGAATCCGAAAGGAAAGAGCAGACCCAGCAGAGGGCCGGGGGGGTTGGTGGATGCCAGAGTGAGACCACTCAGCTGTTCTCTGCAGAGCGCTTGGGCGCCGCGGAGTGGGGTCCAGAGGGATGCGAGGTCAGGGCCTGTGATGCGAGTGTGTGTCCTGAGAGGGCTGAGGCGGAACTCCCTTCATGTGCTGAGTGGAGGGAGCCAGGCCAGGAGATTGGAGGTGGGGAAGGAGGCAGTGGCTCAGGCTGTCTTCACATGTCAGCTGTGGGTTTTATCCTCATCAGCTCTACTCTGAACCGGTCCCCGTGTGCATTTTGAGCAGTACTGCCGCCACACTGCACAGCTGCTGCTTCAGCACATGTCATCCGTTTCTGGTGGTCTCTCTCCTTTCTGCCTTCCGGCAGGCCCTGGCTGTTCCCTCCATGCCTCCTGACTGCAGTTCTGGAGTGACTGTCAGAGCCCCTGGCTAGTGGGTGGGTCAAGTGTCCTGGGGTCAGGTGTCTACCTTAGGCTGCACATTTGCTTGGGATTGTCTTGGTGGGAGCTGTGAGGGGCAGTTTTGCTGAGAGGGTGCTCTGTGAGAGAGAAACCACACTGCAGGGTGTCTCGAGAAAGGTGAAATAAGCAGCAGGTGGGTTCCATGTAGCTTGTCCGGGTGCCGGAAGTGCAGTGGCCCAGGAGGCTGCTGTGGGAGGCCGTGTGGGCCTGTGCTTTGGTGGTTGTCACGTGTTCACAGCAAGACAGATGGCAGCTTGTCCTGGCGTCTTCAGACACTCAGAACACAGGAGTCATGAGTGGCTCTTTGAGACCCGCGTGGCCAGCCGTCTAGAGGTGGGGCCGACCCCATGCAGTTCTCGGGTTCTTGTTTGTTTCTGAGACACAGCTCTTGAAAGCCGCCTCCAGTGTTTTAAGTAAATGGGAGGCCTTGCCAGGCTGCTTACATGTAGGACTCCCTTTTACATGGAGGGCGTTCCCTTTTCTTTCAGAGCCCAATGACGAAAGTGGAGCTAACGTGGATGCGTCCAAAATGTGGCGCGATGACCGGGAGCAGTTCTATAAGATTGCCAAGCAGATCGTCCAGAAGTCTCTGGGACTCTGAGGCCTCGCCTCGCACAGGCGCACGCACCGCCAAGCAGCTCAGCGTTCTCCGAGCACTTCATGACAGTGCTACTCTGTGCTGGCACCAAACAAGCAGACTTGCAAGAACCACAGTATCTTTTTTTTTTTTTTTTAAACCTTTCCAACTTCAAACAGGCTTCTCTTCTGAAGTGATGACTCAATGTCGAATATTGACAGCTTACTGCAGTTTTACAGTATTCCTCACAAAGGGCTTCAGGTAGATTATCAGAGCTGTCAGCACTACCTCTCCCCGCTGAAACCAGCAGTTCATGGCTCCCTGTGGATTCCCTCCCTCCCTGGAGTGTTGAGGGGTCGCACCTGCCAGACTTCCAGGGGACGATGGAATACCCAGAGCGCTCCTTCTGAAGAAATGGGGCCCTGGAGCTACAGCACAGGGGAAGGGCCCAGCACCCTTTCTGGGTCCCTTCTGGTTCCCTGTGGGCTCCATGAAGAGGCCATTACTTCCTTTCTTCCTTCACATTCTACAGGCAGATGCTTTTCTTATAATCTAATTACATCTTTTTCATTTGTTATGTATTACAAACCATCACACTTAGAAATACTTCCAGGAAATGCTTTAAGTGTGAATTAATAAGAAATGGGGTAGATAGAAAAGAAATTTATCGTTGATTGGCTGGGCGCGGTGGTTCGTGCCTGTAATCCCAGCACTTTGGGAGGCCAAGGCAGGTGGATCATGAGGTCAGGAGATTGAGACCATCCTGGCTGACACGGTGAAACCCCATGTCTACTAAAATTACAAAAAATTAGCTGGGCGTAATGGCGTGCGCCTGTAGTCTCAGCTACTCAGGAGGCTGAGGCAGGAGAATTGCTTAACCCGGGAGGCAGAGGTAGCAGTGAGCCGAGGTCGTGCCACTGCACTCCAGTCTGGCCAAAAGAGTGAGACTCAGTCTCAAAAAAAAAAAAAAAAAGAAATTTATTGCTGATCACAAGGACAGACAGACAGTTTTTTCCCGATCATACTCATCAAAGATTTACAGTTGTGTATTGGTAACTAGTGCATTACTAGAGCAGGTGCAAGTGAGGTCTTTAAAGTTTCAGTGGAAGTTTTTTTCTGGATCTACAGAAATTTTTTTTTTCCCATCTATAAACTGGAAATTCTAGGGTTTTTGTACATTTTGGATGCACTGGGAATTTATTAGCACAAAATCATTCTTTGCAACTCAAAAGTCAGAAGGGACTCTACCATATTTTAGCCCAGAGCACAGAGGAGTGCCTTATCCCCACACTTGACTGGGCTGTGGAGGTGGGCATGTGGGCCCCCGGGTCCAGGTTGGGGACAGAGCCCTTGTTTTGTGACTTAGGATTTTGATGTGGTTCCCATGTTCTCTCACAGGGCCCGCTGAGCAGCACAGGCCAGGAGGCCACAGTGTAAGCAATAACAGATCTGCCACATGCAGAAGCAAATATCAGGCCTGTTGCACACAGGCGGCATTTAAATAGGAATTTCTATTTTTGAAATAAGGGATGGTCTATGAGGCATACAGTAGATTTGATGTGATCACTTTCTCCCTCCCTTCCATAATGGATCGTGGTCTGTGTGACTGAACCCACAGAGTGTCATGGGTGAGTTTCTGGTTGAAGTAGCTTCACGTTGGGCTTTTGTGGACAGCAGATTCTTTCCTTTTCTTAAGGGACTCATTTAAAATTTGGAACGCAGGGCAAGAACTTGTATTTGCAAGGAGATGGGGGAAAGGAGCGGTATTGTACCTAAGTAGTATTTGCAGGCAAATGAGAGGGAGCCCTCTCTGTAAAGGAGAGTCGTTTGTGTAAGTAGACGGGGGCTGTGGGTGCGGGCCCCTGAGGGGCACACAATTGGCCTGGAGGCTTCTGTGAAATGGGGAGAGGGAGGAGAGGCAGTCTCTTGACAAAGTATTTTTATTCATTTGTATTTATTAAATGAAAAAATCCCATGGTGTCCCTGTTGTGTGGTGGAACCTAATCACTCTGTTGAAATAAAGTTCTGTGTTTTCCCCGCCCTGCAGTGTGTGTCCCTTTGTCGTGTTGTCACCTGGCCACAGAGGAGCCTGTGGCTACTGCCCCCAGGGAGCACACCAGATCATCCCAGCTGGGATACCTCACGGTGGAGCCTTTTCTGCAGATTTGGGTTAGCTCTGGCACGTTTTCTTCTCTGTTTCTGATCTCCCTTCCGTCATTCTGTGGTCTTTCTCTGGAGTTCTCAGGTTAGTTGGGGTCTGTGAGACGGATGTGTTCACTAACCTGTAAATGACATTTTGTAGCTTTTTCAGCAGATGCCATCATGTTAGTGGCACATTTGACCACTAGAAGCCAGCAGGCGGTTCCCACCGCCCTTCCCTGCTGCAGTTGCTTCGAAGCACAGCTCCCTGTCATCACTCCTCTGTGGTCCTCTGTGGGTCGCGATCAGACCTGCCTCTGCATCTTGTTACTTAGCATGTCAATAAAGAGGCAGATTCCTGTGTCAGTGATTTGCTGTTTCTGTTCTGGTAGTTTGCAGTCAGCTTTTCTTTGTAACCCTGTGAGGCAGGGTCCCCAGGCTCCCCCAGGTGCTGGCGCCTCGTTCCCTGGGCCGGTTCCCAGGGCCGGTTCCCAGGCTGCTCCTGGTGGGGAGCACTGGGTGAGTGCCTCAGCACAGGCCCCCAGGCATGTCCGTTCTGCCCTCTGTCCGGTGTTCTCACTAACCATACTTTTTAATGACTAAGAACTCTAATGTGATACTGAGTTGGGGTCCCTAAGACCACCCAGGGCAGTGATTCTCTAGGAGGACACAGGCCACGCAGGTCGTGGTACTCACGGCTGTGATCTTCCACAGAGAGGACAACGAGCAAAATCAGCCAAGGGAAAGGTTCCTGGGGCCAAGCCCAGGGGCACCAGGCTCAGTCAGCTTTGGAGGCCTCTTCTGGGGCAGGGGTCACGCAGGATGCGCCTCACCCCCCCTGCAAGCAGCTGGGACGCCCTGCCTGGTGATGTACCCGGGACGGGTCACATGAGCAGCTTCTGTCTGGGCTGCGCCAGAATTCCAGGCTCTCAGCGGGGATGTGGGTGTTCTGCCTAAACCACCTTGTACAAACAGCGCAGGCCCAGCGAGGTGGGGCGGGGGGAGCCCCTCGGAAATCCCAGTTCCCACACGCCAGCCAAGGGCCAGCCCGGCCAGCGGGCCTCAGGACGGCCGTCCCCGCCCACTCTGTGGACCCTTTCTGCACAGATAGCCTTGGGCGTTGATGGTGATTTTTACCATTTCATTTGCTCTGTGTTTCTGGGTTTCATCTGCTGGCCCTGGTTTGCCTGTCTGGCTGAGTGCCGTCCTTGATTTTCCCGTGTGCCCATCTGCCTCCTGGGATGGGGGGAGCTGCTGGGGTGGGGAGGGCTGCTGGTGTGGGTGGGGGGCTGCTGGGGGGGGGGGGCTGCTGCAGTGGCCGGGGAAGCTCTAGGGTCTCATTTTCTGGGTGTTGGGCTTCTCACCCGTCCTGGGGGTTAGCGGCCCCATTTCACTGCTTGGGCCACAGCAAAGGTGGCGTCCATAGCTCTGACTTACTTCTGGGATTGCTGCACCTGCTGGGGCTTCTCCAGTCCGGTCTCTGTGTAGATGAGGTTGCTAATTTTTCAGAGAGGAGTGCAGTATCAGTTTCTTCACTGGATATGGAACTGCTCCAGCTGCACAGAAAGGCATCCCAGGGCAGCCTAGCCTCCCTCCCCTGGGCGTGCCCTGCACCATGGTCTCCTGAGCTGACAAGGTTTCTGCAGGTTGGAGTTTGTGCTGGAGGCGAGGGCCCTGGGGATGCCACCTGGACACAAGGAGGGAACAGGGAACAGGTCCAAAGATTTGGGGCTGCCAAGGGGCAGTGAACACACCAAGGACAGGTGGATTCTGGAAACCCTGCCCTGAAGGGGACCGTGGGGCCGGTTGGGATGTGGGGAGGGGTTGGAGAGGGGCTGTGGACAAGGCCAGCCCCCTGGGCTGTGGGGGGCATCCTGGGAGGAGGTCTTGTCGTGCTGATGGGGGATGGTGGCCCCATCTGGGAGGGAATGCTGTTGCGCCCAGGTCTTGGCTGAGCCCTGTGGAAGCTGGAGGTGTTCAGCTCCTCAGATCTGTCCAGGTTGTTCCCCGTTGTCACCAGAGCCTGACTTTGTTGAGGGGACAAAGCAATGTGAACACCCCTGCAGAGACAGGAGACACTAGCTTCCTCCCCCAAACCCCGGCTCCACTCAGCCAGCCATAGCCTGCACCCCCTCCCCATCCCGGACACACCTTCCAGGCCTCAACACCCAACGAACCCACCCACTGTGCAGTGCCAACTGTCTGGTGCCCCCGAGGCAGCTGGCCCATGCTCTTCGTCATCCCCTGGTGAACAGCCATAACCCCTGCCCTTGGCCTCACCCTGGTGAGTGTCCTGGCTCTGCCCTCCACTGGGTGGGTGCACTGCTTTGGGGATTCTGTAGGAGCATCAGGGAGACGGGGCTCTCCACCTTTGTGCCCCTCCTGTGCCCCTGTTCCCATGCCTGGACTGTGAGCGCTGCTGGCTATGGTGGAACCTGACACCTGATCTCCAGGACCCGAGCTCTGACACCAGAAGTTGCCAAGTCCTCACACGTCCAGGCGTCTTCCCCTCTGAAGGCTTCCCTATGAACCCGGCCATGAGATGTCCAAGGACATGTTCTGAGGAGTTGAGGTGGGGGAGGCGAGGTCACTTGCCAAAGCCCTAGCCAAGAAATGGTCCTCGCCATGCCCTGATGCAGCACTGCATCTGCAAAGTCCCCCACCCTCCAGGACTGCGGCCCCTCTGCCTCCATGGGGTGCGGTGGGCTCTGCACTGGCTGCCAGCAGCCCTGTCTGCTTTGCTGGCATGAGGCCCACTGCACCCTCCTATGCAGTGTCCACCTAGACCCAGAGGCCTGCTGGGCAGCCTCCACTGCTCCACCTGCCCCCACTTCAGCTGCTGGCCTTTGCAGCACAGCCACCTCACGCCCCTTCTCGCACCCTGGTCTGGCCCTGTAGGTCCCCCCACCATCAGGCTCATTAGCCCACGTGCTGTACTTGGCAGAGCCTCACCTTCCACTTGGGGCCAGGAGACACCAGGCCCTCAGCACCCTCCCTTACGTGCCTGTAAGTTCCTCTGTCCACCAGCTCAGCAGGGAAGTGCTCTGGATGCCCCACCCACTTTCCTTCTGCTCCAGACTCCAGATTTTCCTCCCCTTGCGGTGGCCACGCATGTTGTCCGCCTCCCACAAGTGTGGCCCTGCAGCCGCCTGTGGCTGTGCCCCCAGCTGAGTGGTGCACTGGTCAGGTGACTCACTGCCCTACATCCTTATGAGAACCCCCCGGGGGCTGGGGTGACGATTGGCCATCGTGGTAGCCGGCAGCGCTGTTGCTCTAAGTTGCTTGTCGTAGGGATAACAAAAATGCACACTGTAGCTTTCTTTTGCCATCGCTTTCTTTTTTGAGTATAATTTCATGAGAGGCTAGGATGGCAAAGTGATAGGAACTGGTTTTTCAGGTGTGTAAAGCACAGAGCGTTCAGCTCCATCTCTGTGGTCGGGAGATGATGCAGGGCCCTATCCCTGGTTTAGGCTTTGCAGTGGCACCCTGTCGTGTGACTGTGACTAGGGCTGGGCTGGGGGCCACAGACCTGAAAGCTGCTCATGACATTGCCAGGACTGTTGTCTGGGGTTTGCCGAGTGGGCATGGGCAGAGTTGGTGTGGGGTGGTGGGCAGGGTATGTTCTGTGGTCCTGCCCTATGTATGGGCAGAGGCTGACATGGGGCAGCCCCACTGCTGCCTGGTCAGTGGCTGTAGGTGAGCTGTGGGTCTGGCAGTTGAAGGTGGCTCCGGCCAGCCTGCTGGGGCTTGGCCTGCCTCAGACCCCAGCAGCTGTATGACCTGGGCGAGCTAGGGAACCTGTCTAGGTCTTTGTTTTCTGGTCTGGGAATGGATTTGATGGTAGTCACGCCCCAGCCCTGAGTGGTGGTGAGGATTAAAGACCATGTGTGCAAAGCTCAGAGAACAGGGAGTAGCTCCGGAGACAGCAGCTCTCTCTGTAGTGGGCGTGTCCAGGAGGCTACCCCTGCCCACCTCTCGGGGCAGGATCTCCTGTCTCTGTCCCTCCCAGCCCAGCGCACGTCTGAGCTGTGGTCAGGACATCTTGTCCTCAGCTGTGCCCCTTGCCCGGTCAGTTCTTCAGGTGGCCGTGGGCACATGTGTGCCAGGAGGGAAGGGGGCATCCTCACAAGGTGGACGTGGGGCCACCTCCAGAGCACAGCCACAGGACCACCTGAGACTTGGCAGCAGTCGGCAACATGGCTCCTGGATGCCTTCCCGCCCAGGCCTGTCCAAAGGAGAGCTTCTCCAACGTGGGGTGGATGGAGCCCCACCCTGGGTGGCGTCCCTCCAGGAGGTCACCCACTGAGAGGCCTGGGGCCAGCTGCTCACCCTTCCGCTGCAGGGCCAGGTCCCTACCAGGCGGCCACCGTCTCAGACCCTCAACATTCCAGTCTGAGTCTGAAGAGAACTTTCAGATCAGAGCACAAGTTCCATGGGCCTGGGGCGGCGTGTGCTGGGTGTGCTGGGTGCCTGGGTGTATGGGTGCCCCGGGTGTGCCAGGTGTGCCAATTCTGCTGGATGCCTGGTTGTGCTGGATACCTGGGTGTGCTGGGTGTCCCAGGTATGCCCCAAGTGTGCCGGTTGTGCTGGATGCCCAGGTGTGCGGGGTGCCCGGGTGTGCTGGATGCCCAGGTGTGCGGGGTGCCCGGGTGTGCTGGGTGTCCTGGGTGTGCTGGGTGCCCAGGTGTGTGGGGTGCCTGGGTATGCTGGGTGCGCCGGGTGTGCTGGTTGTGGTGGGTGCTCCGGGTGTGCTGGGGGTCCCGGATGTGCTGGGTACCCCGGGTGTGCTGGGTGCCCAAGTGTGCTGGATGCCCAGGTGTGTGGGGTGCCCGGGTGTGCTGGGTGCCTGGGTGTGCTGGCTGTCCCGGGTGTGCTGGGTGCCCAAGTGTGCTGGATGCCCGGGTGTG